GCCGGGCGGCGGATGCCCACCCCGCCCCACTCGGGACCTGGGCCGGTAGCCGACGCCGAGCGCCAGGCCGGGGCTCACTTGACGGCGTAGGTCATGCGGTCGGGCCGCATGCACCGCACCATGCAGAGCTTCTGCAGGGCCGTCTTGTTCTTCCACTCCTTGGGGAAGACCTCCTTCTCCGGGGCTTCCGACTCCACCAGCTTCTTCCAGCGCTTGGCCGAGCCCTCGATGTCGCTGTCCAGGTTCTTGAACTCGTCCATCTCCGCGAGGGCCTGGGGGACACAGGGTCCGTGACCCCGCAGCCCCGCAGGGAGGAGCCGGCTCTGGGTCCCTCTGCAGCCTGGGGGCGGGGGGCCTGGCGGCCGGTGGGGGCGGGGGGACTCCCTTTTCGGAGGGCCCCGCCGAACCGGGGTAGCGGCCTCCCTGTGGCCTGAGGGTGGCTCAGGCTGTCGCTGCAGCCTGAGTGTGCTCCCCGGCCAGGGGGTGCACCCCCCAGAGCGCAGCAGACCCCTCCTGTCTCCCCGCTGCTCCCCCCTCAGAGGGGATTTCAGTGGATCTGCTGTTTTGCTCCCCACTCTGTCTCTGGAGAGTCCTCTCACCCCCTGCACCCCAGTTCTTGTGTGCAGAAGAGGGGGTTGAGGTGCCCTGGGTGCGTGTGCCCGGGCACGAGAAGTGGTCTTTCTCTCTGGGACGGGCAGGGGCGAGCCCAGGAGTCCCGCGGGCCTTTTGCCCAGTGAGGGCCCTGGGGGTCGCAACTGGACGGGAAAGCAGGACGGGGCTTCCCTGTGGCCTCAGCACCCGCCCCCGCAGGGCCCCTCGTTACCCAGAGTGGCAGAGGCGCCTGCCCGCACCCGCCCGCGGCGGGGCTGCACCCACCTTGATGCCGCCCCAGCCCTGGTGCTGCAGGAAGTCCACCGGGGACACCAGCCCCGCCCGGAAGGGGAAGCGCAGCAAGAAGTCCAGCTCCATGGGGTTCAGCTCCTTCTTCGTGGACAGGACCTGCGGAGAAGGGGCTCGGGCCTGTCCCAGAGCGGGTGCGCGCCCCCGCTCAGCTCCGCGCGAGGGGCCTTGCACCCGGGGCCCCGCCGTGCGTGCAGGGGCGCGCGGGGGTTCTCGGCACCTCCGCAGGGCGAGCTTGCAGGACGGACGGTCCCTCGGTCCCTCGGTCCTTTGCCTCCTTAAACTCCCGGACGGAGCGGGGCGCCGTGGGGCTCACGCGGGGCGCGAGGCCCTTCTGCGGCCCTGGCTGGCCGGAGGCCTGACGCGACCCGAGCTGCCCCGCGGCCCCCGGCGGGCCAGGGCCCTGGCTCTCACCTGGAAGGCCACCTGGGCCAGAAAGATGAGCTTGTCCCGCTCGAAGAGCCCGCGGGCCGTGTACATGTACACCGAGTAGGTGATCTCGTCCGTCAGGTTCATCACTCGCTGCCTGATGTCGTCGGCGGGCGCCGTCCTCTGGATGGCCTTCTCGAACACCACGTTGAAGGCCTGGGCAGCGGCCACAGCTCGGGGCGGCTGGCGGGCGGACCCCCGGGGCGGGCGGAAC